CTTTCAGGCTCCATCTCATCCTCCACCCCCTCCTCCACTTCATGCCCGCACATCGTGCCATATTCTAAACACCCCCTGTTGTGCATGTTGAGGATCTCCTCTGATGGCATCCATAAGCATATATAAAAAATAAAAAACATTAAACTAAAAGAAAGAAATATATGTTTACCTTAAGAATAGTTTTAAAAACCCTTAGAGATACTGTACTAAAAATTAAACGTTTAGTAATTGGTTAGGATCATACTCGTGAACCTCTAGAGCCATTGTTTCATATACAAACAGTTAACTACAATACAACATTAAAATCTACATATTACACCAACCAGAAATCAAACATTCAACAAAGATCGATCCAGTAGACCTATTAGACTCAAGGGGTTCACACAACCATAGTGTGTGTGTAAAACTCATAGTGATAGATTAAAATCAAACTCACAAACCTCTGGACTCAAGGGTTCATACCAGGGCTATAGAATACAGGGGCTGGCTCACGTCGACTAGCAAAGTGATCCCACTGCCGTGTGGCTGTGACGTCGCCGGGCTCCATCCACGGGTGTAGCTAGCTTACCAACAGATTATCTTTCAGGCTCCATCTCATCCTCCACCCCCTCCTCCACTTCATGCCCGCACATCGTGCCATATTCTAAACACCCCCTGTTGTGCATGTTGAGGATCTCCTCTGATGGCATCCATAAGCATCTATAAAAAATAAAAAACATTAAACTAAAAGAAAGAAATATATGTTTACCTTAAGAATAGTTTTAAAAACCCTTAGAGATACTGTACTAAAAATTCAACGTTTAGTAATTGGTTAGGATCATACTCGTGAACCTCTAGAGCCATTGTTTCATATACAAACAGTTAACTACAATACAACATTAAAATCTACATATTACACCAACCAGAAATCAAACATTCAACAAAGATCGATCCAGTAGACCTATTAGACTCAAGGGGTTCACACAACCATAGTGTGTGTGTAAAACTCATAGTGATAGATTAAAATCAAACTCACAAACCTCTGGACTCAAGGGTTCATACCGGGGCTATAGAATACAGGGGCTGGCTCACGTCGACTAGCAAAGTGGTCCCACTGCCGTGTGGCTGTGACGTCACCGGGCTGCCTCCACGGGTGTAGCTAGCTTACCAACAGATTATCTTTCAGGCTCCATCTCATCCTCCACACCCTCCTCCACTTCATGCCCGCACATCGTGCCATATTCTAAACACCCCCTGTTGTGCATGTTGAGGATCTCCTCTGATGGCATCCATAAGCATCTATAAAAAATAAAAAACATTAAACTAAAAGAAAGAACCACGGGTGTAGCTAGCTTACCAACAGATTATCTTTCAGGCTCCATCTCATCCTCCACCCCCTCCTCCACTCCCTCCTCCACTTCATGCCCGCACATCGTGCCATATTCTAAACACCCCCTGTTGTGCATGTTGAGGATCTCCTCTGATGGCATCCATAAGCATCTATAAAAAATAAAAAACATTAAACTAAAAGAAAGAAATATATGTTTACCTTAAGAATAGTTTTAAAAACCCTTAGAGATACTGTACTAAAAATTAAACGTTTAGTAATTGGTTAGGATCATACTCGTGAACCTCTAGAGCCATTGTTTCATATACAAACAGTTAACTACAATACAACATTAAAATCTACATATTACACCAACCAGAAATCAAACATTCAACAAAGATCGATCCAGTAGACCTATTAGACTCAAGGGGTTCACACAACCATAGTGTGTGTGTAAAACTCATAGTGATAGATTAAAATCAAACTCACAAACCTCTGGACTCAAGGGTTCATACCAGGGCTATAGAATACAGGGGCTGGCTCACGTCGACTAGCAAAGTGATCCCACTGCCGTGTGGCTGTGACGTCGCCGGGCTCCATCCACGGGTGTAGCTAGCTTACCAACAGATTATCTTTCAGGCTCCATCTCATCCCCCACCCCCTCCTCCACCTCATGCCCGCACATCGTGCCATATTCTAAACACCCCCTGTTGTGCATGTTGAGGATCTCCTCTGATAGCATCCATAAGCATCTATAAAAAATAAAAATCATTAAACTAAAAGAAAGAACCACGGGTGTAGCTAGCTTACCAACAGATTATCTTTCAGGCTCCATCTCATCCTCCACCCCCTCCTCCACTCCCTCCTCCACTTCATGCCCGCACATCGTGCCATATTCTAAACACCCCCTGTTGTGCATGTTGAGGATCTCCTCTGATGGCATCCATAAGCATCTATAAAAAATAAAAAACATTAAACTAAAAGAAAGAAATATATGTTTACCTTAAGAATAGTTTTAAAAACCCTTAGAGATACTGTACTAAAAATTAAACGTTTAGTAATTGGTTAGGATCATACTCGTGAACCTCTAGAGCCATTGTTTCATATAGAAACAGTTAACTACAATACAACATTAAAATCTACATATTACACCAACCAGAAATCAAACATTCAACAAAGATCGATCCAATAGACCTCTATACTCAAGGGGTTCACACAACCATAGTGTGTGTGTAAAACTCATAGTGATAGGTTAAAATCAAACCCACAAACATCTGGACTCAAGGGTTCATACCGGGGCTATAGAATACAGGGGCTGGCTCACGTCGACTAGCAAAGTTATCCCACTGCCGTGTGGCTGTGACGTCACCGGGCTGCCTCCACGGGTGTAGCTAGCTTACCAACAGATTATCTTTCAGGCTCCATCTCATCCTCCACCCCCTCCTCCACTTCATGCCCGCACATCGTGCCATATTCTAAACACCCCCTGTTGTGCATGTTGAGGATCTCCTCTGATGGCATCCATAAGCATCTATAAAAAATAAAAAACATTAAACTAAAAGAAAGAAATATATGTTTACTTTAAGAATAGTTTTAAAAACCCTTAGAGATACTGTACTAAAAATTAAACGTTTAGTAATTGGTTAGGATCATACTCGTGAGCCTCTAGAGCCATTGTTTCATATACAAACAGTTAACTACAATACAACATTAAAATCTACATATTACACCAACCAGAAATCAAACATTCAACAAAGATCGATCCAATAGACCTCTTTAGTCAAGGGGTTCACACAACCATAGTGTGTGTGTAAAACTCATAGTGATAGGTTAAAATCAAACCCACAAACATCTGGACTCAAGGGTTCATACCGGGGCTATAGAATACAGGGGCTGGCTCACGTCGACTAGCAAAGTGGTCCCACTGCCGTGTGGCTGTGACGTCACCGGGCTGCCTCCACGGGTGTAGCTAGCTTACCAACAGATTATCTTTCAGGCTCCATCTCATCCTCCACCCCCTCCTCCACTTCATGCCCGCACATCGTGCCATATTCTAAACACCCCCGTTGTGCATGTTGAGGATCTCCTCTGATGGCATCCATAAGCATCTATAAAAAATAAAAAACATTAAACTAAAAGAAAGAAATATATGTTTACCTTAAGAATAGTTTTAAAACCCCTTAGAGATACTGTACTAAAAATTAAACGTTTAGTAATTGGCTAGGATCATACTCGTGAACCTCTAGAGCCATTGTTTCATATACAAACAGTTAACTACAATACAACATTAAAATATACATATTGCACCAACCAGAAATCAAACATTCAACAAAGATCGATCCAGTAGACCTCTAGACTTAAGGGGTTCACACAACCATAGTGTGTGTGTAAAACTCATAGTGATAGATTAAAATCAAACTCACAAACCTCTGGACTCAAGGGTTCATACCGGGGCTATAGAATACAGGGGCTGGCTCACGTCGACTAGCAAAGTGGTCCCACTGCCGTGTGGCTGTGACGTCACCGGGCTGCCTCCACGGGTGTAGCTAGCGCGCGGAACATATACAAACCGCTCATTTAAACGCTTAACTGAATGTACACAATTAAATTGCCCGTATGAAACTTATATCGTTGTAATCTGCATTAACTACAGAATCTGATGGTCCAAAAATATTTTAGTTATGATCAATAATGTGTATCTTTAAAAGGGGAAAACTATGAGGATTACAATCTTGTGAACTACAAAAAGTCACTAAGCGGGTATTATTTTTTTTATGGGATAGGAATAAACTTTGAGCGAGAAAAATATTCATTAATAGTTCTACTTCAATAATTAGCCTGAAAATTCGCGATAAAACCAACGGATCGTTTATTGCTTATCAGAAAGTTAAGCTTTATAAATTTGGCAATCATATTACTTCGTTCCGCACATGTCCGCATCGTGTTGTTTATAACAAGATAGTAAAAAATTGCACTGTTTCTATTAGTGAAACAAGTGATTAGTGCTAAAACTGAATTTTAAGAATTGTGTAGACTTACGGCTTAGAATGTTATTTATCTTGTTTGATATTCCGGTACCCCTGGTCATATATTCTAATACACTTGGTTGGGTATCTTTTAGGAATGTGTAATGGTTTAGGTAATTTTATATTGTTAGTAGAACAAAGTGTTTATTCGTAGAAAATAAGTACCTAAAAGAGCGTTTTAATGCGATAGTATTTTTATTATAATAGTTGTATCCTATTTCGCTGATTTTAGCCACTTACTCATCTTCTGATCATTTTATTCTATCTTCTTCTGAAAGAAACAGAAGACGCGAATAACAATGAAAGAGCGAAGTTGATTTCAAACGTATTTGATGCAGTGTTGCCATAACAACAACCTCAAATTTGCGAGGCGAGTGGCAAAACTACCCGCCAGCGCTCAGTTGTAACAATCATCTTTTGAGACGATTTATTAATGATGTTAGGGGTATTTAAGAATTGTTAAGTAATTACTATGGAAGAACTGATTGACTAGAGTTTTTTCGCTGAATCAAAAACACATTAGTTGCATCAGGCTACAGTGCTTAGTATTTTACCAACTTCTTATTATTGTATTATTTTACTCAGTAACAGATTTTCTCCGGGGATATTTCCAATACAATCCCCCAACTACCCTAGGGGGCCTAAGGGCTCCACCCCCAGCGAGCTAAAGGCGAGTAACTATCTATACATAGTTATAAGTAAATCTAAATACTGAATCGACATTGGCTTAGCTTTCCAATAGCGGTTTGAGCAATCGTCACCACGGCCAAATCACCTGTTGCAGTATTGATGTCTAATTAATTCCGGACGGATATCGAGCTACGTGAGCCGGTTGTAACGAGGTTCAACGCCCCCGCACACCACTGTTGTCAACGCCCGCTAGCCGCACACCACTGGTGTCTTTGTCGTCACGCCACCATGATCCTACCCGCTCTAGTGTCTCTGGCCATGATAGCCCTGGTGAGCAGCAAGGTGTACGAGAGGTGCGAGTTAGTGAGGGAGTTATCTCAACCCAAACACCGTATACCACCGGGAGACCTCGCCACCTGGGTGTGCATCGCCGAGCACGAGTCTCGCTACAACACTTCCGCCGTGGGTCGCCTCAACGCTGACATGAGTGGCGACCACGGGCTGTTCCAGATCAGCGACCGCTACTGGTGCTCGCCCCCGGGCTCGGGATTGGCCTGCGGACTCAACTGCGATCAGCTGGAGGACGATGACATCGCTGACGACGTAGTGTGCGCTCGCAGGATCTACCGGGCTCACAAGCGCCGCACAGGGGACGGGTTCGCCGCCTGGGCTGTTTACAAGCCGCACTGCAGTGGGGATGTGTCTGAGTATACAGAGTGCGACGACGAGATTACCACTGATGAAGCTGACACTCAAAGTAAATAGGTAGCTCTTAGTTAACATGCTGTTAAAATTACATCAATCCACTGAGAGATAACTTTTTTAAATAAACCATTTATTTCAGTTATGAGTTGCGTTTTCTTTATGCCTTCGCAGTTTTTTACCTTACAAAGAGAAATTTTCTTGATATATTTTTGCCCTACATTGGACAAATACATAAATTTAATCCAAGCACTAATTTTAATCCTTTGTGCTTTTTGATGAGCAAGAGAGACATTCTACGTAGTTTTTACATTATATTGGTTTAAATTCACAACTCAACATTCTACGTATAGAAAGCCTTATTATTATAAATTAAATTGAAGTATTAATAGCACTTTTAGTATAATTTTAAATTTTAATATCTACACCTAAATAAACTCGACATTATAACTGTTTATTATCCCGGACCTTTTGATAGTCAAGCAGACACCTCAAAGAACTTAGTTGAACCAAATAAATTAATATTTTCTACCTTAGTGTTTTGTTTTTAAGATTATTTACACTAGTGTGTATACGAGAGACTAGTGAGTATTTTAATAGGGCTACATACTGGTTTACGAGGCTAAACAAACCCAATGCAATACGATTTACCATTCAAATTTTACACACTTTTTTTACCTAAAAAATTTGTCATATTGAGTTCTAATAGTGTAAATTGATGCTAAGAGTATCTTAATGTTAAATTATTACTTATGTGTTACAATCAAGTAGCGCACATCCTCTTAATATGATTGCACTTTCAAATTTATAATTTCCTAATGATTATAATAGACTTTATTCAGGGGACATTTTAACTAGTAGGTGGATTAATTTTTATAGCCTTGACTTACGACCCTATACATTTAAGTCTCATTACATTTCTGAAGCCTATTTAAATGTATGTTTCACGTCTTTATGCTCTTATGATGGCTGAAAGCTTTTCACTCAGTTAAGCGTACGTTTTACTGGATGCGCTTGCATTTATGACAAATCCTGCATCTTAGCTTATGAGGAATTGTTGTATATTTCGAAGGCTTGTGGTTGTAAAATACTGTAATGGTTTACACACTAATACCAAACTACCTAGACTAAATTGAACGAAATGTATTACGAGGTTTCTATATTCCAAAAATGTCAAAAGAGAAAGTGTAAATCAGAAATAATTGATAAACTGATAAAAAGATAAGAGCGTGTGTGGCCAAACGAGTTTAAATGTTAGATTTTGAATTAGCTGAATGCTATTTTCACTGTAAATCTAAAACCAAATTTACTAATGTATTTTTATTTAATAGTGTTAGGAAAGAAAAGTTTTAGTTCTTTGTCCACTGTAAACGAGAGCCTAATTATCACGTGAATAAAAAACACTGAAATCATCAATGGTCAGGAAGGCTTCGTTTTTCATTGTGCAATTTTTTGTCTTTGTGACTGAATCCGGCCTTAAAAGTTTTAGGCTAAACGATCGCATAGCTAAACAAACTATCTCTATACATTATTATTGTGTGTATTCTGTGAGCTTAAACACATTATTAGAAAAAATAACAATTTGTTTTCTATTTATGTAGTATAAAATATGTACAACCTTTGACTATCGTTGATAGTCAGTGGTACAGCTTAGTTATTACAGTACCCTAAAACGTCATAAACAATAAAATACGTTGAATACTAGATCAATTCTATAAATAATTTTTCGGACGTTGTCCAATGCACTGTGTTATGTAGCTGCGTTCTTTTTACGACTGAATTATAGTTGGATAAACATTCGTCAGTTAAGTTGGACGTTAAAACAAATATATCGAGTATTACATTGTAAACAGTTAAAATACAATTGATTGAGATTTCTTCCTCATTTTTTAGATGTAGGTGGTAGTGGCTGCAAAATAAAAAAAATCTCAGGGGTATCGTTTGATGCTTCAGAAAAAATAGAAAGGCTTGAGGTCTTTGCCACATACTCAGATGTAAGTGGTAAGTGGCAATGACTGAAGTGGCTGCGAATTAAAATTCTCTGGGGTGTCGTTGGATGCTTCGGGATAATTTCTGCTACTTAAATAAATTCCCTGTTCTTGCGAGTATTAATTCACTCCAAACCCTTTTTCTTCGCCTTTTACAATTTAGCTTACTGAATTTTGAAGAACATTTTCCCTATAAGGTTTTGAGCTCAGTTTTGCATTCCGGTGAGGAAAACAGTCTGCTTCTGAAATGTCCTTTTTATAGAGTTTGAGAAGGGGGGGGGGTAGGTGGGAAGAGGGGGGGCTAAAGTGTTTTTAGTGTTCAAAGTTCAAAGTAGTACACTGTTGAAGTTTCAATTGGGGTTATCCTTGAGCATCTATAAATCATATGAAAGGGCATTAAACTAACAGAATTTAAAAACTAAACTAAGTAAAATTATATTTAAAAAAGTGGCAACATTAAATTCCTTCACGTCATCCTCCTCCTCTGCCTCATGCTCGCATCTGGTGCCAAACTCCAGGAATGGGCAAAAATGTGCAGTAAGGAATTCACATGGTCCAAGCCTCTCACATCTATAAATCACACAGGTAGATTGTTAAAAACAAGCCTAGCCTAACAACTGCCCGCGGTGTGGAAACTTGGGTCACCTAAGCTAAGTAAAATTAGATTTAAAAAAGGCAGCAGCTTAAAAGTTATCTTTCTGCCTCCTCTTCTCCCTCTCCTCCACTTCATGACTACATACTTTAAATATCTCCCATAATGCACCGTCAAAACCTCATTTGAGGTCATCCATGAGGATTTACTAATCATATAAAAAGCATTAAACTAACAGAAAGAAATATATGTTTACCTTAAGAATTGAATAGTTTAAAAAACCTAAAGCCCCTAAAGAGCCCCAAAGTTTATAGATACATACTCGCAACATAGAGTAATCCATTTATCCCAGTGATCCTCAAAGGAACAGCAAACCAAATAGCACGGACACGCCAACAGCTCATATTTCCTATATATTTCCTATTAAATCTACTTAAATAGTTATTTAAAGTGGTAACCAATGCTTATTTCAATTTGCTATATAGTAAAAGCTTTATAAATTGGCAGACTATTTATAAACTGTTTGGACAACGATGACAATAGTTTAACATATAAATCAAATTTGTACAGCTACACAAGATATAAATATTTAATTTTTATTACTTCTTTAGGATAATAAATAAAAAAAAAACAGTAGCTGCTATCTAGCTAATGATATAATTATTCAATATATCAATTATAACCATGTTTGCAGGGTTAAGAAAAGTTATCATTTCAACAAAAAAGATATGAGAATAAAAAAACATTTTTTATAATTTATAAAGGACAAAGTGTTATATAGATATAATATTATGTTACCCCATTATTCTCCTTCTTCGTCTGTCTCTACCAGCAAGTGTTGATCATCTTCACCTTCCCTATGGACAACAATCTCACTAGGATTAAATGACAAAATTGCACTCCCATTCAATAACATTTCAATTAAATTTTGAATGTCTGGGTTAGTTTCCTAAACGAGAGGAGGATCATGAGACTCTTCATAATCACTAATATCGTCCGCACCCCCGTCAGCACCCTCATTTACACTATCACTTTCTTCATCAATAGGAACATCTTCAATAGGAACATTTTCAATAGGTCCATCTTCAAGTTCTTCTTCCACCTTCATAATTGGGACGTTGATCGGACTCATGGTTGAAGAAATTCAATTGAGGAAAGTTGAATACTACATGTCCTTTTTATATAGTTTGAGTAGGTGGGGTGGTAGGTGAGAAGGGGAGAGGACTGGTATTACAACCTACTACGTAACAGAGTAAGATTAAAACTGTAAGTGCTTATTTTAGAATTTGGAAAAAGTGAATTATCATTACAGTGTTGATTTTTGAATATTTACTATCTCTTTTTGGTTTTGCAAATTAAAGATTACCAAGACAACATTTCCTTTGCATCCCGGATAAGATAATCAGATTTCCTTGGACATGTAGGGCTTATCACATCTCTAGACAATCTAATAGAAAAATGCTCTCCAGTATCGTTACGTTTAATAATGATGTGATTAAACCATACACATCTGACAAAGAACTACTTCATACACCTTTTCGTTCTTCCTACCCGGATTGCTTTGGGAAGCTTTGTATCTTTATCAGAAGACTCTGCACTATTCTTGGGTTTGGAATGAGTGGAGCACATATTACCATTCAAAACACAAACCTTTTCACAGTGTTTCCTTTATTAATACCCTTTTTAAACACGTATTTACACTTAGAAATCGAGAGTGAAAACATTTTCATATTGAATCTCTTATTTTATTTTAATTAAATTCTTTTACTTCCACTCCTGCCATGCCAGATATCTTCTGACCAACGGTTAACATTAAGTCAGTATTTTTTTATAAAAACTGTCTTCAGGCTCTACTAAGAACAGAGTTTTTCTTTTTGAATTGAGTCCAATAGTATTTAGCCGATTGACTTTTTTTATCGTGAACATTGGTGATTTCATTTTTAATCACGTATTGTCCTTTTTCCTCGGGTGTTACCATCTTGTGGCGGAGTTTGTGCTTTTGAGTTTGGAACAGTTGTCTTATCATAGGAGGTTGTTTATTTTTTATTTGAAATTTTATCAAACTCATCACCTGGTGTGGATGGTGATGAAGAAAAGGAGGATTTTTGAGGCGTTAGATGATGTGGAAGCCGTTGAAGGACCGTTGGCGAGGAAAGTTTTTTCTGTTCTTTGCTTTTCTTATTTTTCTTTTTGGATTTGTACCGCTTGTTTCTACTTGCAGTACAACTTAAATTTACATTGATAAAATAAAATAAAATAAAATACTCTTCTTCAGGATTCATCAAATAAAAACTTCTTCATTCAAATAGAATAATACTTCGGTTTATTAAATCCTCATTTCCAAATACATAAATTGGTATCAAAATAGAAGTATACTGTAATAGTAAAACCCTGAAAACAAACAATTGATTTAATATTCTCTAGATATTTAATTTAATAGTTTCTTTTAAGAAATTCTTTTAAAGACAAATTTATTTACTATACATAATTAATCAGAATTAAACTTTTATTTTTGAGCAAAATCTTTAACGTTTTACCATTTTTAACAAAAGGTTTT